GACCACAGCTGGAGTTATAAGCTTATAGTTGGGCACTTCCTTACAGAGTTTGTCATAGGTAGCTTTGTCAAACAAGACCAAGTTATTGAGCTTGTCCCGAACTTTGCCTTTGGACCACTTCTTCTTTTTGGCCTTGCCCCCGGATTTGTTCACTGGGTCTTTGTCTTTCTTGGCCGACTTTCCGGCGTCTTTCTTCTTCTTGTCGTCCTTGGGGGGCATTGCGAAGCTCGGAGAGCAGCGGCGAACACTACGACCGCGCTAAGATGTCGGACAAAAAGCAATAAATGTTATTATATATGTTAACCAAAATGGGAGTATATTCTATGTCCCATTTTGTAACCTGCTTTTTCACCCAAAGGTATATTGTGAGCATTTTTCATGTCAATCTTCTATAACATCATACATAGCATTTCATTATATGGGTATGCTATAATTCATTTAACCAATCTCCTATTATGAAGGAAGCACTTGACATGTCTCTTCCAGATTCTTGTCAGATCTTTAGCTCTTTTAATGCTAGGTGAAAGGTAAGAAACCCTCCTTTACTTGGAGCCTTCTCAGTGGCATTGCTATGTCCTCTCCCCCAGCACTTTTTAGGAGTTAGTGCTGCAGAAAGTGAAATGCAGTCTTTTTCTTTTCTTTTCTTTTTTTGTTTTTGAGACATTGTCTCACTCTTTTTGCCCAGGCTGGAGTGCAATGGTGTGATCTCAGCTCACTGCAACCTCTGCCTCCCAGGTTCAAGTGAGTCTCCTAACTCAGCCTCCTGAGTCGCTGAGATCACAGGTGTGTGCCACCACACCCGGTGGCTAATTTTTGTATTTTTAGTAGAGAAGGTATTTCACATGTTGGCCAGGCTGGTCTTGAACTCCTGACCTCAATTGATGTGCCCACCTAGGCCTCGCAAAGTGCTGGAATTACAGGAGTGAGCCACTGTGCCCGGCCTGTGAAATGCATTCTTAAGCTTCCATCAACCTAGGTAGGTTCCAGGGACCAGGTAGCCAGGTTAGCAGAATCGGCCTTTCTCTCCAAGGAGATGACCATATCTGAACAAAGGGCTTGTTTTCTTCTCCAAACGATTCATGAAGCAGGCGCTATGGTCTGAATGTGTCCCCCAAAATTCATGTGTTAGAAGCTTAATTCCAAACACAACGCTGTTGGGAGGTGGACCTTTAGGAGGTATTTAATGTAATCATCACAGGAAGGGGCTAGTTATCATGGGAGTGGGTTCATTATCACAAGAGGGGATTCATTATAAAAGTGAGTTTGGCACTTTCTTGCTCTCACTCTTGTTCTTCTACCTTCTACCGTGGGATGGCGCAGTAAGGAGACCCTCACCAGATGCAGCCCCCTTAAGTTTGGACTTCTCAGCCCCCAGAACTAGAAGAATTAAATTTATTTTCTTTGTAAATGACCCAGTGTGTGGTATTCTGTTATGGTAACACAAAATTGTCTAAGACAGCAGGTTTCATGAAGGCCCCCCGATATCCTACTAGACCTGGCAGGACTGTTGTTTGACTTCACCTCAGTTAAGTTGAGGAAATGTTTAAATGTGAGCTGAAGTCTCGAAAAATGGGACTTTTTAAAAAAAAAATTATTATTCTTTTTTTAAAGACGAGGTTTCACCATGTTGGTCAGGCTGGTCTTGAACTCCCGACCTCAGGTGATCCGCCCGCCTTGGCCACCAAAGTGCTTGGATTACAGGCGTGAGCCACCACTCCAGGCTGAAAAATGGGACTTGTAAGTCACATCATTGAGGTCAGCCTGTACCCAGGATAAACTAAGTAAGAAATCTGTGTTTTATCAGCATCTTGGTTTCTCCGCTTTTCTGTTGTGTAGTTTTCATTTTGAGAAAAATTCAATCAGCTCACCTGAACTAATGATGAGTGTTTTACAGTTTCCTAGGCCAGAGGGTCTGGGGCATCCAGGGATTTTCTTGATATGTGAGTGGTCCTGGCCACCCTGCCTGATTTACATATTTTAAAAAAAGCTACAAGAAAACCTGGGAATGTGGAGAACTGGTTATTAGTAAGGACATTGATCCTTTCTTTTTGTTTTTGTTTTCTTAATGTGACCTCAAATTGTAGTAATCATAATCCTTGGCTGGTGACATACTCTCATTGTTTTATGAATGTCTTTCTTTTCTATCTATCCTATCTGTCCTCCTTTTCTATCTATGTATCCATGTATCTACCTATCTATCTGTCTACCTATCTTTATTGATCCACGTTTTTCTAGTTGGAATTTCCCTCTTGAGCACTACACATGTAAAGTCTTGCCCCTGGATCACAGCTTAGAAGCTAGTTATCTGGCCTTGGCCTTTACTTTCTTCTCTGAGTGCTGAAGGTATCTTCTTGATGCTACCACTTTGGTAATAGACTTCTTCTTTCCCTTATCTTCAGTCCCTGGCCTGTAATCATTCATCAAAGCAGATTCAAACTCTCAAGTGAGTTCTTTCACAATAGGATGTGGGCAGCAAATAGCTAAAATAGGTCACAGAGGATCAAGAGGTGTCAACATTCTCCTAAGCCAACATTTGGTCATATGAGGATCTAGATATCAAGACACAAACTGACTTCTAAGATCTGGAAGGTCAGGAAGTGGGGAGGTCAAGGCAAGAATAAACCAAGAGGCAAAGCCATTCCAAAAAGTGATGAAGCCAGTGGAAACCACCCAGGCCTAGTCCTAGGTCAAAGGCTAGTGGATATCAAAAGGGCAAATGATCTTGGTCTCTCTGCCTGAGTGATTGGAGCAATCAGACAGGGGTCTTGCTATTTTCACACCTGTTTTGACATGCTGGGCCAGGCAGTCATGCAGTGTCGCTGGCTAACCTCAGCTTATCCCCAAGTTACCCTGCCTGACTCTGGCTATCTGCCTTTTCCTTTTAAACGTGTTTTGGTGTGAGACAATTGAATGAATTCATGCTGTAGGGTGTCTGTGTATGTAAATAGCCAAGGTAGGGGCAGCAAAGATCGAGGATTTATTTAATGCAGTGTGGTAGCTGCAGGAGTGAAAACCATGGTGTGCAAAGAAAGAATCTGCCAAATCACGGAATGTGGCTAGGCAAGTGCTATCTGGGAAGCTGCTTCTGTTTATCCAACGTGATTGAACTGTGAGGGACTGAGAACCCATCAGTCTGAAGAGCAGTGGTTTATTGGCTGCAAACTCTCTGGGGCCTATGCACCCTCCAGGGACTCTTTCTCATTCATGAAGTCCAGGAATGGTTGCCTGTGCCCACTGGGTAACAGCAATTCATCTCATACATTATATCCTTGATAAGTAGTTTACCCCATCGGCCCCTTGGTGTTTCTGGAAGATCTTAGTTTCCCACTCTTTTCACTTTTGGTGTCAGAGAGACTACAAGAGACATAAAAAAAATCATAAAATTGGGCCAGGCGCAGTGGCTCATGCCTGTAATCCTAGCACTTTGGGAGGCCAAGGCAGGTGCATCACTTGAGATCAGGAGTTCAAGACCAGCCTGGCCAACATGGTGAAACCCTGTCTCTACTAAAAATACAAAAAATTAGCCGGGTGTGGTGGCAGGCACCTGTAATCCCAGCCTACTTGGGAGACTGAGGCAGGAGAATCGTTAGAACCCGGGAGGCGGAGGTTGCACTAAGCTGAGATAACTTGTACTCCAGCCTGAGCAACAAGAGAGAAACTCCATCTGGAAAAAAAAAATCATAAAATTTTTCATCTTATCTTCTGGGAGAAGTAGTTGGTGTGGCTTGACATTTCCAGGGCTTCGTCTTTATATTCTAAGAGGTGGCACACTTGCCAAAGTTACTGTAGCTGCTGGGGCTACAGGTGGAGAGGGATGTCCTTCACTGCAGGGTAGTGGGGAATTGCATCAGCTTTTAGTGTCCTTAACCTGTTCTCAAAACTAAACTAAACTTAGCGTATGGCTTCTTCAGCCTGTGGGAATGAGAAAAATATCTTTTATGCCCCAAAGCCATGACCTGTTTACATAGAGGAGGTAGGGAGACCTAGAAGGAGTCAAGACCTACAAGCTGAGCCAGAGGTTGCAAACTCATATGTCTCTAGGGATCAGAGGTATAGACATGAGGGAACCAGGCTGAGAGTTGTAACCAAGAGAGGGCGTGTTCTTTCTAAAGGCCTTGCCAAAATGGCATAGACCCCTGTCTGATTGTTCTACACCCAGAGAGACCAAGATCACTTGCCCTTTGACCAAGTGAGGGACTGAGAACCTATCAGTCTGAAGAACAATGGTTTATTGGCTGTAGGGTGTGTGTGTGTGTGTGTGTTGACCAAGAGAGGGCATATTCTTTCCAAAGGCCTTCAAGTTTAGTTTCTCCAGTGTTTTTTGGAAAAAAATTCAAACATACAGGAAAGTTGAAAGAAAGTTATATTAAACAGCTGTATATCATCTATCTCTCATTTAACAATACTGTATGTATTTCATCTCTCTGTACCTATATGTATGTACATGTGTACATATGCATGCATGTATATATGTATATGTGTATGTCTTGTGTTTCTGAACCATTTCAAATTTAAAAACAACCGTAACTGTGCTGTCTACATAAAACACAACTGCAAAAAGATTTGGCCCAAGGGCTGCTAATTTGTTACCATTGGGGAAGGGCTGGTATGAGGTGCATAGACCAACTGTGGGGTGCCAAGAGGAAGTCCTGGTAGTGCAATCAATATCAGAGAGATCTGGCCTGGAACAAGGGGTGGACTAGGAGAAATAGGTGTGGGTCCTTCCGTATCTTGTTTCTGAAAAGTATGTAATTGTTTTCAGATTTACTAGGGTTTTTTTTTTCTTTTCCTTTTTGTGTTTATTATGAAATATATCATGCATAAAAAATAGTTTAAAGAATAATAATGCAAATATATGTGTGTCTGCCATCTGACTTAAGAAATAGATGCTACCAGTAGTTTGTAAGGCTCCTGTGTGCCCCTTCCTGCTCTCATTCCTCATGCCCTCCCCTACCACGAGTAACTGCTCTGTTTGTCTGTCATTCCGCTGATTTTATTTACAGTTCCATCACATATGTATGTCTCCCTAAACAATAAAACATTTAGGTTTGTCTGCTTTTGACATAGAAACATCACACACACACACACACACACACACACACACACACACACACACAGACTATTCTTCTGTTACTTAATTGTTTTCACTCAACAATATGATTTTGAGATTCGTCTTTGTTGACACATGCAGTTCTGCTTTTTGTACTTCATTGTATGACTATGGCTGTACCACAGTCATTCATCCGTGTTCTTATTGATTGACATTTGTATTTTTT